ATTTTTTTTTTAAGAATTTAATAAGAAATGAGGGTACTACATTAATAACTTTTATTTTTTTCATCAATATGCGAATATTGATATGTTCTTTCCCTGTATGAAGATTCTCATCGAACATTTATTAAAACCTAATTAAATATATTATTATACATTGAAATTATAATTATTGGTTTGTATTTTATTATTTTATCATCATTTTACTATACAAATAAGAATAAATTTGAAATTTGTTTTATAATAACATCTAATTTAAAAATCTAATTTACAACTATAACAAAAAATAATGCATTGCATAATTTATGTTGTAAATAAATTAATAAATAAAATATGAGATTTGATTATCATTGTAATTAATATAATTTTTAATTATAATATTATAATAAACGTGATTAAAAAAACAAGGTATGACCCTCACAAATAAATAAATCTAATATATAATAATTCATCTTGATAGAAATATAGAATTTAGTAACATAAATTTGCAATCATATTTTAATAAAATTAGAAAAATAAATAAATAAATTCATATTTGTAATGTGGGACAATTGATAAAGCAACTTGAAATAAGTTCTAAAGTGGTATGAGCTAGTGTTATTTTTTTTTCTTAAAATATCTCATAAATTAGTATTTTTTTTTTAATGCTCAATAAACTAGTATTAGTACTAGTATTATTATTATTTTTTTTAATATCCTACGAGCTAGTACTAATTTTGTTAATCTCAATTAGCTAATAGCCTAATAGTATTAGTCTTTTTTTTTTTTTGGATAAGTATATTTAAATTTTTTTGATGAAAGATAGGGGTGGTGGGCCCTATCAACCAATTTTTATTTTTAATAATTTATCTCTTTTTTTTTATCGTTATAATTTAATGCCACCATTGGGCGTACACCCCTCTTATTCATTAACATGCCCATCCTCACTTAATCGTACACCTATTAGTTTATTAGGTATGAAGTTTATTCAATACAAAAGTTGTATGAGAGAATTATCTCACATCAAAGAGATGTGAGAGGAAAATGTCGTATAAAAGAAATCGAACTACGGCGATACGATGTGTGACTGATAGTTGTACGCTGGCGTTAGAAGTAGAGGGACTGACTTCACTTGCTAGGTGGGCATCGGTTTTTTAATTTGATTTACTCATCCAAAATTGTCACAACCTAACCAACTATAATATTGCATACTTATATTGAAATTCTTGGTTTATGTTTTATAATTTTTTACTATACAAATAATAAAAAATCTAAAATATCTTATAATATCATTTAATTTACAAAATCTTATTGACAACTATAAGAAAAAATAAATTTTTTTTACTAAGTACTTAGAAACTCAAAATCCTTTTTATTTTATTTTATTTATAAATATTGATAGATTATAAAGTGGAACACAATATTTTAGATCTTTTTTTATTGTTCAAAAAAAAAATATTTTAGATCCAAAAGTATTCCATAAGTAAGTTTTTTTTACCTAAGAGATTAAGTGTACATTGTGATACTGCAGAACTGTCATAACCCAAGAATTTACAATACTGATATTCCTGAGATGTGACAGTCAAAACATATATACATCTCTTGATATGACAAATTTACAGTGGCGAATTATTACAAAGTAACAAAAGAAAGTTTAAGCACAACTACAATATCTTCCAAAGTTGATCTTGATGAGCACCCAAAATGAAACCGCAATTATCCTGAAAAAAATGTTTACCATAATTTGATGAGTTTGGCTACTCAGTAAGAGATCATCATAATCTTAAAACTAATCATGATTGAAAGATATCAACATTTTAAAAAATGAGATCTATTAACAGAAATGCATGAACACTTTCACTTTAAAAAATGCATAATTAAGTATAATCCGAATAATTGAAATGTATATAAAATTTTAACGGTAGTGCATAATTCAAAGGATTTCACAAATTAACCTACTGGCGTCCTAAGTAGGTCACCTACATACCCCATCAACGTTCTGATGGGTCCACTTAATCCCTATCGGTGTCTTAGATAGGTCCACTTAATCCCTGCAGGTTAACTTATACTTCACTGGCATACCAGATGAGTCTACTTAATCCCTACAGGCATACCAGATAGGTCCACTTATACCTCACCGACGAACCGGATGAGTCCACTTGCATACTTAAAGTATTTCTAAATCTCTTTAAACATTCGAAAGCAGCAATATCATATACTCAATATATCACTGAAATTATTAATATGAATTTCATTGACACCATTAATAACAGTCACTTTCAATAACATTTAAAAAATAACTAGTCAAATATTTTTGGGCTCAAATTTAGAAAGGGAGCAGTTTGTAAAGATATTCTAGCATAATTTCCAATATGATATGTATAGAAAAACTCATATAGAAATTCAAGAATACGAAATTATCACAATTTATGGGATGTCAATTCACAAATAAACATTTCACAGACAATGCTATAATCAATTGCAAAAATATCAGTTTTCAAATAATAAGACAATCATTTGCACATGAATTTTATAATGTCTAAATATTCAAAAACAGTAGAAAGAAATCTCACAATTTTACCAAAAGCAGAAATATCACATTTATTTTTAATAATTTTACAGTATCTAAAATTTTCTAACAATAGACAAGAAAAATAAATAAATTTATTTCTAAGAATTTACAGCATTTAAAATTTCTAACATAGATAAAATATCACAATTTTATTAAGAAGATTATTTTCCAAAATAATGAGGTCGTTTGCGCATAAAATTTATCGCACCTTAAATTCATGATAATAAGCATAAATAATTATTTCATTTTATTTAAAAAAAAAACGGATTATTTTTCAAGATAATGAAGTCACTTACCTAAAATATTTGAGAGAGAGCTTTTGATAAAAATTTGGCTAGAGAGTGAAAGAGCTTACTATATTTCGACCAGAGAGAGATTTCAAAATTTTCTAGGGTGGAAGTCTTCACTTCTCCTATTTAAATATTTACGAAGCCTTATTATAATCTTTTATTAAGTTACACAGGTAAATTACATCTTAAACGCTTGAAGCCCACGTCCCCTAAAGGACGTGGCAAGAGCAAAAGCTTAAACTAGGTAAAAGTTTTTGGAAGTAGTAATGGTCTTTAAGGACCATCATATTCATACGAATTATCATTTATTTAAAAGTTTATTTTCTTCTTCTTTTTTTTTTTTTGTCTGTTGTTGTTTTTTAGGATTATTACAAGAACCATGGTACATGGACTCTTTGTTATGTCCCTATGATCTACCACTTGTGTCGTGCCATTCTTAAGTTATGCACTTTAATATGTTAGTGCTCCTATTTAAAGAAGCAAAACAATCCCACATTGAAGATTTAGGACTTGAACAAGTACATAATCGGTTACCCGTCCAATTTGTGATGTCATGGAATGATCCTGTGATGTCATCAAGCGAGAAAAACAGTTGGATCCCGTTTATGGCCCGATCTAGATCGGGTCAATTTTTAAAACATTTCATATCAATATGCTATTCCATGACATATTTATGGAATTATTTACATAAAGGAAAATTGTTTTATGTGGGTTGGACCGCATTTCTACAATATGCGGTCTCAATGTATAAAGCCTCCATCTTAAAGAAAGATGCAAATAGGTGGTCAACCTAAAAACAATTAAAACTAAAAGTCCGATTTCCTTTTAATTGAATTATTATTTTTAATTTTCAAAATTTATTTATTTTTTATATATTCATGATCTCCATGTTAAAGATTACGTGTCCTTAAAAATTAAGTCAAAAAATCCATCTCAAAAATTGATTTTTAAGAGGTGATTCATTTCTACATGTACTCATGAAAACCGTGTCCTTACATAAATGTTTAAAATATGTCTAGGTACTCTTGATTACAAATTTACGTAATTATTTATGCGATCAGTTATTTGATTTCTACATGCAACATACATGATTCCACTAGTGTTTTTGTTGCGGTACTTTTCAAGTGACGTTTGCCAAATGCCAGTAAAGTGGAAAGATAGTAAGGCAAATTGCATAAAACCCCAAAAAATGAATCTGTAAGCAATTTACCCCTAATTCTTTTTAACAACTTTTTTCCCAGAGCCATGTTTCCTAGCAAATACTCCCAAACTCATTAAAAAAAAGAAGAGAGACTAAGATACCCCTTCCTTAACTTACGCATTGACCATGGTGGTCCGACACTTCACCGTTGTGATCTGGTACTTCGTTATAATAGTCCAGAGTTTGGAAGAGGCGGTCTAACATTTGTTTATGGATTAATGATTAGTCTTGCATTTGTGAGCTACGGTCCGGCAAAATTGAAAATTGTGTTTGGAATAGGTGGCCTGACAGTATATAGTTTCGGTCCCGCATAATGGATGGATCCGACAACATGCAACTGTGGTCGGTCTTTCCTTTTATTGGGATCTGAAAATGATTTGTCAAGTACGGGAATAGTATTTTCGTAAAAAAAATAAACTTTTTGTATTAGAGGGTATTTGCTATAAAATTTGATTTTTGAAAAAAATATGTTAAAAAAAATTAAGGTAGGGGTAAATACCTAGAAAGTCTATTTTTTTTGGGGTTTTATACAATTTTTCCAATATATTATACTCCGGTCGGAGTAATATTATAGTTTAGTACTTTAGTCCCTTGGGCAAAAACGGAATCCAGGTTCAATTTTAGGACCCCAAATTTTAGGGATGAAACCGCTTCAACCCATACATTAACCTTAATAAAGTGAGTTTCCTAATTGCACCCTCTATATGCATGTCTCAAAATTGAAAGAAGACCATCTAATTTTGATATGAGATATAAGGGTCAGAAAAATCAAAATTCAATCTTTTAAAAATAATCAGCTAGTGTTTCTTAGGTCCTTCCGAAAATTGCGTAATGAAAAAAATCCCCTCAAAATGGTCTTCGTACAGAGGGAGTATATGTACAGTATATTCCTGTGGGAGCATAATTCAGGCCCTAACCTATAAATGCCCTGGCAACCGTTTCATGATATTTGCCCGCCCTTTGCGAAATTGCTCGCTGTTTGCGAAAATCGCAATTCCTCTTTCCATTTTTTTCTCAGACATTTATGCGGTCTTTTTTAGTGTATGAGTTTTTTGCTCAAGGTAAGACCTATGGTCTCTGAATATTTTCATTCTTAATCTTATCTTGATGAATTATGGTCTTATTTTCTGTATTTGTTTTTGTTGGAAAGTTTTGAAGGCTTTATGTGATTTTATCTCGTCTATTGCGCCATGGATGAAACCCATTTCTGCAAGTTAATTGAGTTGCATTTTTTGTCACTCTAGGGTTTGATCTTTCAATTCAATGTCTAGGAATAAATGGTACATTGGGCAGCTTATGCAATCTATTGTAGATGATAGTTCTGTACAGAAATTTTCGAAAGCCATTGTAGAAAATGGTTTATTTAAATTAAGACTGAAACCATCGCGGAAAACTAGAATGTAGATAACGTAATAGATTGTTACAAATTACTTAAATTTACAGATAAATGCTCTTTGAAACAATTCTGAATGATACAATAATAAAATTCAAAACATATAGAAACCTTACTTGCCGAATGAATTCACTTAGTAATGTAAATTGTGCCTAACCTTTTTGCTAAAATTGCATTGAAAAAATAGGTTTCTAGAGTAGAAGTTCCTTGACTTTATTCCCTTGTATTTCTCTACGTTGCTTGGGTAAATCTCATATTGCATTACTCTTATTTTTATGGGCTTGCGATTAGTTCAAACTTTAAGCATATAAAGCAAGTAAGAAGAGAACTTTATGCTCCTATTTATATATTATCTTATATATTTTCCTTCTGTAACTTTAGGTAGAATGGAATGCATTGATTATTTGGTCGTTCTATAAGAAAATGGAACTATGAAATTATGAATAAACAAAGAGGTTAATCATTGTTTGTTTTCGATTGTTGACCGTTGGGTAACATTTTCATTTATAATCATGGAGGTACCTGTTGTGATGAGTGATATAACCATATTTATCTATTTTAGAGGCACTTACACATATTATGGACATCACACTGACATATGGCCCACCTGTGGCAGATTTTTCTTTCTGGCATTTTACTCCATTTACCTGCATCTTTATTTTTTCCCAGAATTTGAATAATTCTCCACTGAACACTCCCAAAAACGTCGGCTAGTATGGTCAAGAGGGAGTTGGAATTTATGTACTTTACACAGAGATGCATATGCATCAAAGGAATGTGTTCTCTAAGTTTTCAGAAGCATGATGTCAACTGAATTAGTGTGACCATGAATGGAAACAATACACCAACCGATAACGTTGTCAGTGAATTGTTAGAAATGGGATTTGAATTTCCCATTGCCCTAGCAGCTATAGAAGCTGTGGGCCCATCCCTCTATGATGCGGTGGACTTCATTTTGACTGGTTCTTGCAATGTAAAGTTCGAGCCAAGTTCAACTCAAGAGCACCTGAACAATGCATATGGTACTTCATCTAGAGAAGCTTGCACTTCCAAGAATATGCAGAGATCATTTGATTCTAAGGATCATATGAAGCAGGCTTTGATCACAGATCATCTGAGTTCATCAGTTAAACTTGAAAAATCTGAACCTTTAGGTAGTTCTGATACTTTAGCGGGTGGGTTCAATATAGCAAAGTCCAAGTGTGGACCTCTACATAAGCCTGATATGGTACAATCCTCTTCTATAGATTACAGAAAAATGCTCTCAGTTGAATCATCTGCAAATGATATGACTCTCAATGAGCTTCCTACCGAGGATCTATGTTCTCTAAAGAATGATAACTCGAGTTTTCATTCTACTCATTGGTCACAAGGTCAAGGCATCGATTCAAAATGGGAAACGAAAGTTAATTTTCTTCTGAAAAACTATTTTGGAATTTCATCCCTCAAAAGTTTCCAAAAGGAGGCCTTGGAAGCATGGTTAGCCCATCGAGACTGTCTTGTTCTTGCTGCGACGGGATCTGGTATGTGTACCCAATTATCATGAAAAAGGGTTTTCTTTCTTTGTCCTTGTTTCTGTACTTTTTGGGCTACTCTTGTTCAATATGTTTTGGTTTTGGAATTTATGCAAACTTAGTTCTTTATTAATTGTGCAGGAAAATCACTTTGCTTTCAAATTCCCGCATTATTGACTGGGAAAGTTGTTGTAGTAGTTTCACCGCTTATTAGTTTGATGCACGATCAGTGTTTAAAGTTATCCAAACAAGGTGTGTCAGCTTGCTTCTTGGGATCTGGGCAGCCTGACAATTCTGTAGAAGATAAAGCTCTGAATGGAAAGTATAACATAGTCTACATTTGCCCAGAGACAATTTTAAGGTAGAAGGTTTACTCTAATGTTAAATTTGTCTAGTTACTTTAAATTTACATGCATAGAAACATAAGTAACCACTTTTTTGTTTCAATAGACTAATCGCGCCACTTCGGAAACTAGCAGAAACTCGTGGAATTGCACTTTTTGCTGTCGATGAAGCGCATTGTGTCTCCAAATGGGGCCATGATTTTCGGCCTGACTACAGGTGTGCTTCTTTCATGTGCTATTCATGCATCATTTATTTGGTTTCACTATTCAAAAAGACCCATGGTTCTTAAATCTGCATAATTTCAGTTAATGTCTAGACTCTAGAGTCATTGAAGAACAAACTTATTTTGCCTGGGTGTTTGGAATTTTTACTAAAATTGTATGGTTCATTACCAATTGAAAAAAGAAAGAGAAGTGCTGTTTGAAGATCATTAAAGTTGCTAAGTTTCTTGTACCTTCACAAATTTTCAGGCGGTTATCTGTTTTGAGAAAAAATTTCAGAACCAGTAGTATAAGATCGTTAGAGCATGATATCCCTGTGATGGCACTGACTGCTACTGCTACACATCACGCACGAGAAGACATCATAAAATCCTTGCACATGTCAAAGGAAACAAAGATTGTGATCACTTCATTCTTTCGTCCCAATCTTCGTTTTTCAGTAAGTCGATTATCCTGCTATTCCATAGTAATTGGCATCATGTCTGTCCTTTTTTTGGGAGATATACGATTTGTGCCTCAAGTTTTTTTTGGTGGGAATGTTAGCAGGGATTTAAACCTGTGATGTTGTTCTACCGTCATCAACTCCCTAACCATTAAGCCAGGATTCCATGTAATCATTTAGTAATGATGGCTTTTAAGGTGTTAAGGGTGTGGGTGAGTTTTCCATTTATTGAATTGATGTCTGCATTATTCTCAGTTTATAAATCTGGTTTTTCACAATTTTCAGGTGTGCCATAGTAGAACGTCATCTGTATCATCTTATCAGAGGGATTTCAAAGAATTGATAGCTACATATAGTAGAAGCAGGATAGCGGATGCTGACAGTAAAAGGAAATCAATTGCTGATACATCTGATGGAGATGAGAGCTCTGAAGATGACGTTTATGATTCAAATGATGAAGCAAGCTCAGATAAAGATAATATTGATGATGGTATAGAGGACAATGAATTGTCAGTTGATTTCTTGGAGGATGAACTAGACCTGCAGCAAAATGTGGATGATATTGATGGTATTGCTACTTATTATTTGAAACTTTGATTTAACCTTTTCATTTCTTTTATTTATTTTGTTAATATTGGCGAAAGTGAATATAGTTGCAACCTTTGGGACTTAATGGAATGTCATTCTCCACTTCCCACTTATGGTTTGGGATATCTCCCTTATAGTGCAAAATCAAACTAAGCTCCGCCATAGATCTGTTATTAGTGTCATAATTTTGTTTCCAAATTTCTGGTTTTGATATTTTTATCATGTGCATGTTTTGTTAATGATTTAAGATTGTAAGGCATCATCTCCATAAATAATTTTGAAATGTGTTCTTTCTTCACAGTTACCTGTGGCGAGTTCAATGCGGATCATCCTGTCAAAGACCAGGCTTTGTACAATCCAGATGAGGTAATATCTGATCCTGTTGAACCAGTGGAGAAATTTAGAGTTACACAAGAATCTCTAGGAGAAGGTACTACTATTATATATGTACCTACCAGAAAGGAGACAGTAAGATTATCTGGGCACCTTTGTAAGTGCGGTATCAGATCTGCAGCTTATCATGCAAAGGTATGTACTATATGCCATCATATTCTGTAGAAAATTTGTTTGATCATATGGAATGAATGGGTCCAGTTTGTTTTCAGGTGTCCTTTTCCAGGTATTAAAAAAATCAGTTTAGAAATCTGTATATCTAAGAGGAGGATAATCAGGGGTTTTTAGATTAAATCACTGGGTTTTTTAAATGAGAAAGCAAGTTTTCACTATTTAACAGTGTGTTTATTTGAGAGGCATGCACACATTGTCACTCTGAAGTGGATTGTGGCCGGGAAATTCTGGTTACTTCCTGTTTTTCTCCTTCCTAGTGGCTCATTCATTTGAGGTTCATGATGATGGAATTCTTTAGGTGAATATAACTGCATGTGATTTCTTCTATGGCACTATAAATGCTTTAGTTCATAGGAGGTGAGCAGCAAAATTTTTAAATTTTCCACTTAGTCAATAATAATAGTCTATTGAACTGAACTTAATGGAAGTTACTGAGGAGTCATCATGGAATAGCTAACGAATTGCTGATTCTAAAGGCGTTGGTGTTTTCAGGAAAAAAAAAATAAAATAGTGCTAAGGGTGTTGACTGGGATTTGATCTCTCAAGGGATTACCCAGTCATTATGTCCAGATTTCATGATAGAGAGAGATGTTTCATTTCTTGTCTCCGTGCATCACCAAACATGGATTTGTGATTGGAAATTGAATAAAATCCCCGTAATTTCGCACAAAAGAGACGAAAATTGAGAGAGACTCATAAAATGGCAACTCGGGCTGCAGAAAAAAGTGAACCAAAAAAAAAAAAATCACAGCTCAGAAACAAAATTCACGGCTCAGATTTTTTCGATCTGGAGTGCTGATCTAAATATTATCCCTGATAAAGGATTTAGCAAAGAACAAGAATACCTCTAATAATACAAAAAAATGTTGAAAAACAAGAGGGAAATTAGAAATGGTGGACCAGGTATAAAAAGGGGGAAAAAAGGCCAAAATTTGTATCTCTGTTTTTGTTGATTTGGAGTTTTGATCCATAAATATTTATACAGATCTGAAAGCGAATCCAAAAAAGAAGAAAGCCCCTCAAATTTCAGCAAAAATCATAGAGAAATGGGAGATAAATTAGAAACATTTGACCATCGTTTGCTTTTATATATATAAGCTGTTAAAATGGGTGGGAATTGGGCTATTGACAGAATCGCCCAGTTCCCTAACAGATTCACCCTGTTTTATGGCAAAGCATGGTGATTCTCTGTGAGTTGGATTGGTACTCAGTTTTGCAAGGAACCGGTTCAATCGCCTGAATCTGATCCAGATTGCAATTCCCAATATGGATCAGTTTATTTATTTTTTTAAACATTGGGTTTTGACATATTGAATGAATGCCCATTATTTATCATGGTATAGTTGTTTGCATCTTTGTGTGTGAATGTCACTAAAAAAAAAGGGGGGCCTTGATGGCAATTCCTATATGTATTAGATCAAGTTTTATATCCCTTATGGCTGGGCCATGTATGGTGTACGCCATTCTTGTTGCAATGGGTTGAGACAGAGTGGATTCTTTTCTTTCAATGAGTGTGGAAAGAGGGAATTTCACTATAAAGTTGACATGATTTCCTGTTTTGAACTTGTTCTCTTTACTTCTAAGGGTAGTATTAAAACATTCGACTTGAAGCGAATAGAATCTTTGTACCTCCTCCTGTATTCTAAGCTGGCAATTTCTGCAGCTACCAAAAAGGCATTTGAGGAGTGTCCATGAAGAGTTCCATCGAAACAATCTAGAGGTAACTCAAAAATATTTTAACGTCTGGAGTTGCATTTTGATCATATCACAATTGAGTTATTTTTGATGCATTTTGTTGTGATACAATATTTTTGACTTCACATTGAAGCATAACATTTTTTTGTCATACTTATCATGCTTTTACTTGCACTTGTATTTCAGGTATACTAGGCAGCTGTTACTGGATGTACTTCTCTTGGGACTTTTTGTGTATGTGTATGCACATACACATTAGCGTTCAGTTTGGAGTCTAAAGTACAATTTGAAGTTTCAGGTGGTTGTTGCAACAATAGCTTTTGGAATGGGCATTGACAAGTCAAATGTTCGTAGAATCATTCACTATGGCTGGCCACAGGTTTGATGATTGCTCTCTCTCTCTCTCTCTCTCTCTCTCTCTCTCTCTCTCTCTCTCTCTACTCTACTACTACTACTACTACTACTACTACTACTACTACTACTACTACTACTACTACTCTACTACTACTACTACTACTACTACTACTACTACTACTACTACTACTACTACTACTACTACTACTACTACTACTACTACTACTACTACTACTACTCTACTCTACTCTACTACTCTACTACTACTCTACTCTACTACTACTACTACTACTACTACGTACTACGTACGTACTACGTACGTTACGTTACT